GTATTTTGTTTTGTTTTTAGTGCATTTTGTTTTGTTTTTCGTGTATTTTGTTTGGAAGTCGGTTTTGTTTTTTTATTAAAAAGTTTTATCAGTAACTTGTTGAATAAGACCATTGTATAAATTCTGAGTACAAGGTGTGTTATTATAACCAGTTCTCAGAAAACGGACTTTTGTTTATATATAAACAAATTATGATTAAAACGGATATTTCGAATTGAAAACAGATATTGTTAAAAATGCTTGAATAATACTAACAACAAAGTAGACGAATGCTCTCTGGCGATAACGAAAGCGTCCGTCCTAATTACGTTGTATTGTAGCCGATGTGCGTTTGTTTATGTCGAATTAAAATCGAAGGGACTCTCTGTTAATAAAAAAAATAGTAAATTTTGTTTATTTATACGTCATTACGTATTTTTGTAGTCCAACCATTGTTGGACTACCAAAATTACAGTGCGTCAGTGTCTCCCGTTGGCCCTGATCACCGTTTGATATACTCATTGGGATGTTTTTCTCGGTAGGGCGATCAAATCCACATGATCCGTGAGCTGTTCGACCCAACGGGAAACTCCATTCTGTTCCAAAGATGGAACAATATTTTTACGACATTTCAATTTCAAAACTTAGATATTGAAATTACGTTAATTGATGTAAAGAAAGAAATACTATTATTTGGTTTTTAGACTCATCCTGCTATCTACGTGTTTGCGATCAAATCTAGGTGTGGGCGACGCACTAGGTTTTCATTTCCCAGAGTCTGTCATTCTTCATTTTAGTTATTCCCTTATTGTTCATGCCACGTCTCCTATCATCCTCCATACATCCGTTTGACTTTCATCTTATATGTTCTCCTTATCACATTCCTTGAAAAATAAATTTTCTTTACCATCACCAAAGTACAAACAACGATCATGCACTCTGCTATTATAATGGTAAATTTAAAAACATTTGAATCGTAAATGAAGTATTTCCTATTAATTTGTTCTGTGTCTAAATGTGTTCGACCCTTACGTATGTATTTAATTAAATTGCTTCTCAATCAAGAAGGAACAAAGAGAGTCCAGTATTGAAGAAGATTAACCTAGCACGTTTCAGAGGCCGACAGTAATCTCGCTAGCGTAGTTACCATAATAAATATATATGTATATGATACTAGTTTACGGCCGCGACACCGTCCGCGTGAAAAAAAAAACACAAATAAAGAAGCTATGTGCTATTTCATTGAGATCCGTTCAGCTGTTTAGGCTACAAATTGTAACAAATATCCATCTAAACCTTCCCATTTATAATATTAACAAGATTAGTAAAATATATGATACGTTTTTGCTCGTTAGGATTTAGAAATCGTAGTTTTATCCGTCATCTCTACAACGTGTTTAGGGCGTTGATACACTTGTCACAATGATATCTTGTATATTTATTAAGCTCAATGAGATTTATAAAAACCATTGAAGTTTTTGAATAATTTGTGTCATGTATTAAATATGCCAAGCGGAATTTTCTTCAAAAGAAATACAGGGGCAAAAAGATATGCAAGGTTTTTGGGACATCCGATTCCGAAGATATTTCTCTGAATGTAAGTTATTCACTCTGCCTGTCATACCCCTGTTGCCCTTCATTTTTTAAGTATTTTTTTACATAGTATTCTGACTGGCGTCCCTAAAAGCGCGGCGCTCTTTGGAAAGTTCTACGTGTGGTAATACTTCATTGGGCGCAAGGCAGAGAGAGGCATCTCTTATGTTTGACTATACACGCTCGAGTTAACCCTAAATTACTTGAATCCCCTTTTGTACGTAAATATAACTTACGGATTTTATATACGTCTTTACTTTTATTCTACGTTTCAGATATTTTTACATTTTGTATCAGCGTATGATATGCAACCAGCGCCTACTGCAATGTATCGCCACCTTAACGACGCATTTTCGGCGATTTAATCCGTGCGTCTGGGTAACTGGGTTGTGTACATATAAAAAGTCGGTCGATCTGTGGGCAATCTAGTTTACGGTACGAGCGAGATTAACGCACACGCTATAAATCCCCGCCGCTGCCGGCGCTGCTGTAATCCAACTCTTGTTGCGTTTTCATTACCTACACCTGACAAACTACCAACATTAAAATCTTAAAAAAAGTAATATATAAATCTTCAACGTTTTCATACATTAATGTCGTCCACAGCTTTACTAATGTTTTTTTTTTTATTTTATCCAGAATACTCTCCATTTAACACAAACTACATATATGATATCATTATTGGATATTTTTTATCATTGCTACAACGTTTCTATTTCAGGGTCACATCGACAACAACACGTTGGATCTGAGGAAGCGCGAGCACCGGTTCTTGGTGATGCAGATAGCTCTTAAATGTGCGGACATATCCAACCCATGCCGGCCCTGGAATATCAGCAGGAATTGGAGCCTCAAAGTGTGCGAGGAATTCTTCAAACAAGGCGACTACGAGCGCAAACTGAACCTGCCCATATCACCATTATGTGATCGGCTAGACACGTCTATACCGAAGATTCAAATAGGTAAGGGTGTTCATCTTCAAATAAAACATCTAAACTCCTGACTCAACTATCTGCAATACAAAGTAACCATCCACAAATGATATATTCCACGAAAGTCCATTACCTTCCTCCGCATTTTACTCAGAAACTATTTCTCAAAATGTTTTTTATCAATATTTAATTGTTATGTCGCAACCACGTATTGTTGGAGTTTTCCCTTATATGAGATATAAGCTGTTGCGTATTCTTCCTTATGGAATTAAAAATAGTAATAAACGTAGCCTATGCTACTCAGTGTTAGCTTATTATTGGTGAAAGAACTTTTGAAATCGGCCCAGTAGGTTTTGAATTATTTCAATATATACAAAAATACAAATCTTTATAATATAAGAATAAATATAGACAAGATTATGTGCGCGACTCCGTCCGCGCAGAATTAAAAAAAAACATATCAAGTAGTCTATGTGTTTTTCCAGGCTATGCTCTACATCTGTGCCATATTTATTCGAGATCCGTTAAGCCGTTCTGGAGTTACTTTCTAAGTTATCTATGTAACTTAACAGTGGTAGAGCCCGCTTTAACTTCTTCGCACGAATGGGTCGGCTCGCCCGGTGTAATACCACGACCAC